TTCCATGAAATTGGTCCCTGATGCCCGAAAGATTGGGGGCCACTGGCATAGCGGGTGAAGAAACTGGGCTCCCACTTGGAAGGCTGAGAGTTCAATCCGATGTAGTGGCAGATGCTTCTCTCCGAGGGCACAAAGAAAAAAAATACTTGTTGTGAACTCCATGTGGCATCAGGAAGGGCATCTGGCCAGTAAACGCTCAGTAGAGAAACACTTTATAAGGTTGTGCAAAGGGAGCTATTTACTGAGATGGAAACATATAGGTTTTTTTCTTTTCTTATGATCTATCCTCTTACAATCTCCAAGCCTCTTCTGCTCTGTCTGAAGAAACCCTATAGCAGTGATGGCAAAACTTTTTCGGCACCAAGTGCCCAAAGCGGAATGTGTGTGTGTGTTTGTGTGTGCGCATATGTGCACTGGATCTCCGGAAACCCAAAGATCAGCTGGCATCCACGCGCCAGCCACCTGGTCTTCGGGTTTCCAGTGCTCTGGCCCGTGCGAAGACCAGCTGGCCGGTGTGCATCCAAGCACTGGAATCCCAAAGAGCAGCTGGCAATGGTGCACGTGCCCACAGAGTGGGCTCTATGTGCCATCATGGTCCTATAGCAATAGCAATAGCACTTAGTTTTATATACACTTTATAGTGCTTTACAGCCTTCTCTAAGCAGTTTACAGAGTCAGCCTATTGCTCCCACCAATCTAGGTCCTCCTTTTACCCACCTCGGAAGGATAGAAGGCTGAGCCAACCTTGAGCCTGGTGAGATTTGATCTGCAGGCAGCCGGCAGTCAGCCGGCAATCAGCAGAAGTAGCCTGTAGTACTGCACTCTAGCCACTGCGCCACCAGTGCTCATAGGAGCTATTCTGTCCTGGTAACCACCCATAGGATATATTTGGAATTGTATGAAGTCAGGGAGGCTCTGAATTCCCAGAAGATGATCTGTGTTTGGTTACCTTTTAGAAAAGGAGTCCAAGAATGTCACAGCCCACCCATGAAAATTTCACCAGTTGTGGGAATGGAACCTGAAATATTGCTAGAAAAGATTTTTTGTAGCTCAGGGCTGAACTGTGGAGTCCTTGGTGTTCTGTGAGCCTGGTGGTTTTCTTGCAGACATTTCATTACCCAACTAGGTAACATCAGTGCTGGACCTGATGATGTTGCTTAGGTTAGTAATAAAATGTCTGCAAGAAAACAATCAAGCTCAGAGAGCGCCAAGGACCCCACCTAAAATATTGTTAGAGACCTAGAGTCTTTGTTAAGATGGACAATTATACAAATTGATTGATTGATTGATTAAATAAATAAGTTATTTTGAATGAAATTGAATGAGAATAATAGGGAAGCTCCCCTCACCCAAATGTATTGTTTGGCACAGCCCTAAGCTAAATAAATAGTAAAAAAAGCTCAAAGATATTCAAGTAGCTCTTTTCACTGTTTTTAAGGGATTTATTTCCCATAAATGTTTCCAGTTTAAACATGCTCTCTTTGAAGTAAGTTCTATTGATTTTGATTGAATTAATTTTCGAGTAAGACCACTATAAGGTTACAGCCTTCTTTTAATTTCCAGTTTATGAACCACTTATATTTTGAGTACAAGCATAGGGGTTATGCTGCTTTTTCCCTAGAGAAGTTCTTTGCCTGTGTTCTTCTTTTTTCCTTTTCAGCTGAAGAGATGCCATTGAATTTTTGATGGTTAATGTTGCTTTTATATGCTTAGTATATAGCTTTGCTCGCCTGGCTGAGTTCCAATTTTGTTTTTCATACCCTTATTGTCTGATTACTCTTATTATTTTTATATGAACACCACCTTCAGGAGGCATTCCAAACATGTATTAAATAAACAAATGATCCGTGCATGGTTTTCAAAGGAACTTTTGCTCAGGCAATCTCAAAAGTCCAGTAAGAGAAACGGTGTGTGTGAAAACAAGCCATCTATTTGGAAGATGCAAACTTTCCTATTTACACTCTCAGCAATGTCTGGGCTCCACTTGATTTAATGATATGAAAAGAAAATCGCCATAGAGATTCTGTTAGGTTGAAATGGAAGAATGCGCCTGATATTCCATTGCAATAATCACCATGCCCTGAGGACGTTACCATAATAGCTCAACACCAAAGTAATATACAAACAGATTGTACTTGGGAAAGAAGCAAGCTAAAAATACAAGTAGTCCTTAACTTACAAATAGCTCGTTTAGTGACTGTTCGAAGTTACAATGGCACTTAAAACAGTGACTTCTGACCATTTTCCCCACTTACAACCGTTGCAGTATCCCTTGATTTACATTCGGATGCTTGACATATTCATGAGGGTTGCAGTATCTCCGGTGAGATTCTGACAAGCAAGGTCAATGAGAAAGTCCTTGTTACTCATTTAACAACTGCCATGATTCACTTAACAAAGGTGGCAAGAAGAGTCATAAAATGGGCCGAAAGCTCATTTGAGAAATTTCTCACTTAGCAATGGAACTGTTGGGCTCGATTGGGGCCATACTGTACATCCAGGGCTGCCTGTATGTGTGAATTCAGGAAAGTTGTATACAGCAACGCTATGCTTAGCATGGAAATGGATGGATGTGGCTTGCAAAATTATCCAATTCACAAGTTGTGAGCCGCCCAGAGTCCCAAGGGAGTGGGCGGCATACAAATTTTATTAAACTAAACTAAACTTTAGGTGGCTTAACTTAGGAATGAAAGCACAAAGCAGAAACATTGAAATACACATAAAAACACAAAGACACAGTCCGAATGAGGACACATTACAACGGGACGATTCCTACAACAATTTTTCTTTGAAAAAGGAATGGCCGAGTGGTGAAAATTACCCAGCAGAATTTGATTTAGTGCCGGGTTCTTAAGGAGAGGATGGATCTCTGAACAGTGGAAACTCATCACCCTCTCAATATGTACAGGTAGTCCTCAACTTATAACCATTCATTTAGTGACCGCTTAAAGTTACAGTGGCACTGAAAACTTTTTCACATTTATGACCATTGCAGCAGCCCCCATGGTCACGTCATCAAAATTTGGCCGCTTTGGTAACGGGCATGTATTTATGATGGTTGCAATGTCTTGGTCATGCAATCATGTTTTGTAGCCCTCTGATCAGCAAAGTCAATGGGGAAGCCAGGTTCCCTAAATAACCATGCAACTAACTTAAAAACTGCAGCGATTCACTTAACAACTGTGGCAAGAAAGGTTGTAAAATGGGGCAAAACTCACTTAATCGTCTTCTTTAGCAATGTAAAATTTGGGCTCAATTGTGATTGTATGCAGAGAACTACCTGTATGCATTAGAAAAAAAAGACTGAATGAAGAATCAGTGAATATTGGAAAACTTTGTCTATGGAGATTCTTGGTCATCCAGGTCATGGTTGTCCCCAAAAGTGCTTTTTCAAAAGGCAACTGGACTTTCTTAGTTTTCCTTGAAGATATTTCACTTCTCATCCAAGAAGCTTTTTCAGTTCTGACTGAAGAACTAAACTGAAGAAGCTTAATGTCTTCAAGGAAAACAAAAGAAGTCCAGTTGCCTTTCGAAAAAGCACCTTTGGGACGAAACTTCAATGGCATATTAAAGCTATACCTCTAATGGGAAGCATCACACAAAAATAGGTGCAATTTTACATATTTTTTTAAAAGACATTAAAGACAACGGAATGGAAGAATTGAATGCACATGATTTAGACAGTCATTAGTGCTAAATTGATATGCATATCATTCCATGTCTAAAACCTTGCAAAATGTCTGGTTGAAGACATGACAGTATCTAAATGTGAAAAAACAAAACATTATATGCTCAGTTTTGTACAATGAAGTTGAAAATCCACTCACCTTGGCGACACTTGATTTTTGTGCCTGCTTTTAAAAAAAATGTTTTTGAGAGTCTTTATTGTTTTTAAATGAGAATTTTTGTATTGTTTTGCTGTTTTCATATTGCTTTTAATGGCTCGTGAGTGGCTCAGAATCGTATATTTGAGATGGGTGGCTATATAAATTGATACAATGCGTAAATCAATAAAGTTGAACACAGCAAATGCATTTCCAAAATTCATCTTCTGTCTGTTCATGAAAAAATATGAAAAAGGCATAGATTTGGAGGCTTGGATTCAAGACGAGTAAATAGCCCTCACTGAGGTTAGCTGAGATGCAATTCTGAACATCCCCAGGATTGGCTTAAGATTTTTTTCGTGATGTTCCTAGTTTTAGTTTCATTTGAAAAAAAAAACAATTGCTACCAACCTGCTTTCCATTGAGGACTTGTATACTACACGAGTAAAATAGAGGGCTGTGAAAATATCTATAGACCCCTCACATCTTGGACATAAATTGTTTCAACTTCTACCCTCAAAACGATGCTATAGGGCACTGCACACCAGAACAATTAGACACAAGGACAGTTTTTCTCTGAACGCCATCACTTTGCTAAACAAATAATTTCCTCAACACTGTCAAACTATTTACTAAGTCTGCACTATTATTATTAGTCTTCTCATCATTCCTATCACCCATCTCCTCCCACATGACTGCATGACTGTAACTTTGTTGCTTATATTCTTACGATTTATATTGATTGTTTCCCAATATGATTTGATTGCTTATTTCTACCTTATGACTATCATTAAGTGTTGTACCTTATGATTCGTGATGAATGTATCTTTTCTTTTATGTACATTGAGAGCATATGCACCAAAGACAAATTCCTTGTGGGTCCAATCACACTTGGCCAATAAAGAATATTCTATTGTGTTCTGTTGTTCTGTTCTGTTCTGTTCTATTCTATTCCATTCCATCCTACTCTATTCTGTTCTATTTCACATATTGTATATGAACATATTGTATTATTCCTACTCTACTCTACTCTACTCTACTCTACTCTACTCTACTCTACTCTACTCTACTCTACTCTACTCTATTGATATGCCCTCATTGCTTGTTGATTTTAGGAGCAAGAAATGTCTTCTGATTTTTTTCTTTCTTTCTCTCTCTTCCATATACTCATTCAAGTCCCTGGAGGCATAGCTTCAGAATCCCTCACATTCACTCCTCTGGAGGACATGATTTTTCTGAAATGGGAGGAGCCGGTGGAACCCAATGGTCTCATAACACAATACGAGGTATGCCATGAGATCATTTGGGGGAAATGGATACTGTGCCTTATCTCGCTTATCCTTCTGTCAAAGTCAGAAACAGAAGGTTCTTGTTAATGCATTAATTGACATTTTCTATGAGGATGAACAATAGCCTGGTACTATAAGGGAATTCATATGCTGTAACAATGATGATCTCAGGAGAGATGCTCTATTCCAAATGAAAGGTAAGAGAGAATGCCACTTTTAATAGGATGCTACTACCTTGGGTGCATATAGATATCTTACATTCCAGTTAAGTAAAGTAGAGATTGACCTTGGCTGATCTTACAAAGCTAAGTAAAGTTGGATGTGGTCACTACGTGAGTGACCAATTGACAGAAAATGCCAGGGAAGTTGAAGAAAGATATTGGAGTAAGTCAATGGCAAAGTACTTTTGTATTGTGACCAAAAGGACTTCCTGGATACCTTTATACAGGCATCAGAAGTCAAGCTTGAATGGCATTTGCATTTATTAAAAATTGCCTATATATTAGGGGACCAATTTAGTTAAATATTTTATTTTGTGTTAATGGGTAGACAAACAAACTATTGCAGCCCTCTTTCTTTTGTTCTTTTATCAAACAATCTTTCTCAAGAATTGTGAACCAATTTGCAATCAGAAGCAATGCTTCATCAGTTTTCTTTTCACCAGCTGTCATTGCTCATTTGAGCCTTTTAAAACAACAACAACAGCAACCATAACACGATCAAACCTCTTATCCAAGCACCATGGATATTCAACATACCCGAGTAATGTTCAGTGAGCTCCTGTTATTTGTCCCAGCTTCTGCAAACCTAGCAGTTCGAAAGCATGTAAAAATGCAAGTAGAAAAATAGGAACCACCTTTGGTGGGAAGGTAGCAGTGTTCCGTGCACCTTCGGCGTTCAGTCATGCCAGCCACATGACCATGGAGACTTCTTCGAACAGCGCTGGCTCTTTGGCTTTGAAATGGAGGTTCCCCTCTGGGTTCCCCACCTCCTAGAGTCGGGAATGACTAGCACATATAAGCAACGGGAACCTTTATCTTTACCTTAGGTAAAGGTTAGTTAAGGATCAACAGCATTTAAGGAAGGTTGGGCTTAATTCTCTTGTGGCAACGTAGGAATTCTAGGCTGTTCTCCCTTTTCACACCAGCCTCAGATTCTGCCGTTTCTTCTCATGAAAGGGGTCCCTTAAGCAGTAATGCCAGGTAAAGGCCTGGGAAAGTGGGCAGAAACTGACTTTCAGTTTCAAGGACTTGCGCAATGATTAGGATGGTTCTTTGTCTGTCAGGCAAGCCCAGCAATAATTGATTGGCTTTTCTGTTATTCTCAGCCAGGTGCCGAACAGAGAGTTTTTTCTTTTCTTCATTATTGTCCTCAGATAGTTTTTTTTGAATAGGCCTGTCTCTGCGTGTGCTTTGGCTTCTCCCAAACGCAGCCAGGCAAAACCTCCCTTCCTTCACTCGGCTTTTTATCCCATGCCTTTGCCCTCTCTGGCATCAACAAAAATTATTGGAGCGCGGAAACTGCCGACTGAGAAAGCTTGATGCTTATCTGCGCAGCTCTTCCCCGCCAGGCTGAAGGCTGCTTCTTGGAGAACTGACATAGGGTCTATTGTAATTCAGGAAGCTTTTCTTTCTTTCTTTCGTTCTTTAATAGTCTTGAAGATTAAGGGCAACTTTATATAGTTCTTTCCAAGTCTATTGTCTCAACGGCAGAACGCAAGCTGTTTTCCTGGCTGTATCCGAAAGTTCTCTCCGTCTCTTGCTGTGATGATCAGTTAGCTTGGCCGAGAGCCACTCTGGGTCCTGTACAGATTTGTGCCTTTGATGGAATATTCCTCTCTACCAAAAAATACCCTGCCTGTAGAAAAAATATCAGCATCAGGGAGAAGAATGCTAGGTTAATTTTGCCCTGGTCTTGCTTGTTTTCTGTGTGCACAGATTTGTATGTGTGTGTGTGTGTGTGTGTATGTGTCTGTGTGTGTGTGTGTGTTGCAATATTTGGTCCTGATTGAAGCAATGTCTGGCACAGTTTATATAAGGGGGGGGAGGCTATATAAATTCCACAAGCAAATCAATCAATCATGATCTCATGAGTGGTGGTGCAATGGTTAAAATGCAGTACTGCAGGCTACTTCTGCTGACTGCCGGCTGCCTGCAATTTGGGCAGTTCAAATCTCACCAGGCTCAAGGTTGAACTCAGTCTTCCATATCCTGGTGGGTAAAATGAGGACCCAGATTGTTGGGGGCAATAGGCTGACTCCGTAAACCTCTTAGAGAGGGCTGTAAAATACTATGAAGCGATATATAATTCTAAGTGCCATTGCTACTGCTATTGCTATCTCTGTGTTCTGATGATGTCTTAAAGCATATCCCTTTATCCTAGATCAGCTACCAGAGCATTGAATCCTTTGACCCAGCAGTCAATGTTCCTGGCCCACGACGCACCGTCTCCAAGCTCCGGAATGAAACTTACCATGTTTTCTCCAACCTTCATCCCGGGACAACCTACCTTTTTTCAGTAAGAGCACGAACTGGCAAGGGCTTTGGTCAAACTGCTCTGACTGAGATCACCACCAACATCTCAGGTAGGTTGGGAGAAAAGAAATGCATTCGTTTGCTGTACCACGTTGCAGATGGCTGGTTTGTTTGGAAGGTCCTTTATTTTCTCATATAAATGGATGGTGGTTTTCTGCTGAAAAACAAATCCATTTTTGAGGGTAAGCCTTATTTTACTGTTCCATGGCAGTGTTCTGACCTAAGCTTTTTTAAAAAGCATGAAGCAGACACTTGGTCCTACAAAACCTCTTTTATTTACATGACTGTGAATTCCTTTCATTCACAGTCAGCAAGTCATGGCAAACTGTGCCAGCCAGCAAGGCATGGCAAAAACAAAGGCAAGTCTTTCAGAGGAATATTTATCAACACGAACCTTATCTCACTTGGAGAGCTGTCAGATAACGCTTTACATGGGGCTGCCNGAGGAGGCCCAACCTGTGCGATCTTATTGGTCGTTGGGAGGTGAATGGCAGGAGGCGGTCTCTCAGGTAGCCCGGTCCTGAACCATGATAGTTGTTCTTAAGACATTGTGATATTCATAATGTGCTTTCCCAACTATTCTTTTATGAAATAGCAACTGATACTTTCCTGTTTCTGAACGAGAGAGGCGAAGCTACTAGAATTCCTTCCATGGTTTATCTGAAATAATGTCAGAATAATTATTCTTATTCTAATGGCACATCTGTATTAGTGGTTTTAATATGGGGTCTTTGATTGTTCATTGTTAGGACACGTTATTTTGCCACTCTAAACAATGAATGTATTATTGCAGGATATATACTGCACACACACACACACACACACACACACACACACACACACACCATATGGATTGTGTTATATCCATAAACTAGATCACTGACCTTAATTGCGGGAGGACATATCGTGTTACCAGCATATTAGTAAGATTGAGCTCCCAGTCCTATCAGTGTCTATACAAGTACAGGAAGGGTGAATAAATGCTCGATTCTCTTCTCACATCCAGCTGCAAAATGTTGATTTGCTTTTCATATTGCTTGTTCCCAAGTGACCATTGTAAAATAAAGTCTGATTTAGCTTACAATTTGGGAGGTCTGAACGGCCTTAGCTTTAAGTCAGGCTTGTTTCAGATGTGCGGGTTATATACAGTATTGACTACTGAAAGAATATCAGCTCCATCTGGCAGTTTCGCCCATTCCCAGGGGAGGGAAGAATACATGATAAATTAACCCTTACATTTTGGGATTACACTGTTTAATTAAATCCTACAGTAACTTCTCCATGATATCTTCTAGTTGTGTTGGGACTAGGCATTTTGGGAGTTGTAGATTAATAATCCGGAACACTGCATTTTGATAAGACCGCCATACTGCTCCTTGTACTTATAAACAACATTAAGGACAATCTCAGGCTTTAGGCCCCAAACACTTACATAACATACAATATACTGTTGGATCTCTTGGATTTGAGAGCTATGATTGGAATGCAGAATTGCAGGCTAACTCATTGCTCACTACCAGGAGTTCAATCCTGACCAGTTCAAGGTTGACTCAACCATTCCATCCTTCCGAGGTCGGTAAAATGAGAACCCAGATTGTTGGGAGCAATATGCTGACTCTACACAATGCTTAGAGAGGGCTGTAGAACACCGTGAAGTGATATATAGGTCTAAGTGCTATTGCTATTTTTAAAACTTCCAGTTGAAATTCCACTGGAGATTCCAATTTCAAATGGCCAGCACCACCAGCTGAAAAAGCAGATTACTTACAGGTATGTTTCCATTATGTGAATCTGAAGCCTCTCCCTTCCCCACACCTGGGGTCAAAGTATAGGCTTGGTTCCCTTGTTAGAATAGCAGCAACTTTCTTATATATTTCATTTCTCAAGGTGCTAGTCGTTACTTATAAAGCCCTGCATGGCATCGGACCTGGGTACCTGAGAGACCGCTCCTGCCAATTACCTCCCAAAGACCTATTCGATCGCACAGGCTTGGCCTTCTCCGGATCCCATCTGCCAGCCAATGTCGGCTGGCGACCCCCCGGGGGAGACCCTTCTCTGTTGCTGCTCCGGCCCTCTGGAACGAGCTCCCCGTGGAG